TCTGAGAAAAAAAATTGCAAAGGATTCGTCAACACTGTCGTTCCTAATTTGATCCTCAATTGTTTAAGCTTGCTCACTTCTGCAGCCAATGTTGAAAGAGAATGCGGTTTTTGACCTTCAGTTGCTAGGGTAAAACAAACTTGTTTGCATCGGTGAGAGTGAATTGTGAGGAAGTACTGTATTCTTCAGCTAGTTAATATGTCTTCAATGAAGTAGCATGCTTGCTATCATCCAATTTCGTCAGCTGCAAAGGTTTTCATTAAGTAGTGCTCAAGCCATGCTACACGTTCAAAATGCCGAGCTACCCCGTCGCATGCGTAGAAATGTGCGAAGAGTGGGCATAGGGTGGAGTGCACTCGAATGGTGCGATTGAGGACAGTGCGTTCCATTAACCTAAAATATCTCGATGGTTCAGAAGCTTTCAATCTAAAGATGAGAGTCGCGTTGATGTGATTCTGTCAAGACCAATCAATCGATGAAATCGTCTAAGTTCTGAAAGGAAAACCGAAAGCTACTATGCAAGAGGTACCCGATCCACTTGGTTATCTCACGCGACTGTGAGAAAAGTACACGCGGTTTGATTCCAATCAACGTAGAAGCTCAACTGTGTAAGAATCTGCCAGACTTGATCAGTCGTCCTTGCTCGGAATTACTTTTGTAGGGGACTGTTACCTGTGATTAATGCTGGCTAACCTATGTTCAGATGCGAGGAAGGGACAGTTCCCTATTTGTAGGAGAGATGCGAGCGCTAGAAGCACTTCTTGGTTTATACGAAAGAATATTTTGCTATATTGTTGATGCAACTGTGTACAGGTCTGATTCACTTCAAGTTGCTTCAAGGTGGTATTGCTGAGACAGACGCCAGGTACGCTAACCAATTGTAGAAACTCACTGGGATTCGTCGCCCACATAACCGAAGAACCAATCAGTCGTGTTGCGCTCACTCGCGTGTTGCAAAAGTTCAAGTTAAAGGTAAAGGTAAAGTAGTACGTATTCCACTTGCAAAACATCATTCGAAGGAGAATCTTTGATGATTTTACCTTCACCAAACCCTCTATTCAAAAGTTTCTCGAATTAACGTGGCTCACGAAGTTGTTGGAGGACGACATTGAGGAACGGCCGAATCATCAGGCACAAGTGATAGAAAACAATGAGCAGTACGGTTTTCATCAAGGCCTGTTCAGTACTAAATAATAAAGCATTCAAAACGTCGCACGTATCGCAATACATACGCTCATATCATATTTAGCCGTAGTCATATAGTAGAAGCCAAATCGCGAACGATGACTTCAGTCAATACCTGCAAGCTTTAAACATAGCTTAGTTAATTTGTAGGTCAGTATATCAGCGATTGACGGAGGTGGTTGCGCAACTCCAATTCCCGGTCAGAGCTGGGAAAAAGGAGAAACAAGCGGCTATCTGCCATTCGTGACCAGCGCCGCCAGCTAAATACCTATTCTTATTACCTATTTTTCGCACTTCAATTTTCCTCAAGCCAAAATTCAATTTGGTTCCGCTAGAAGCTGAAGGTGATATTTTGATACAGTGTCACTTTTTGATCTTCGGCTGCAGTAGTAAGCAACCCAAATCAACTGAAGATCAGAAAACGAACGATAATATTAACAAATGCTATGCAAGTTTTTTTTTTCAAAAAGCTCTGGCAATGAATGATATTTGCTCGTAAAGCAGGTGCAGAAGGAATGCATTACCACTATCTATAAAAGGGGATCTTTCTGGAGAATGCATAGCATCCAAATGTTTGTGTTTTTCCCACTATTAGCTCTCCTTGTACCAATTTCCTCTGCTGAGGGTGAGTACTTTGAACTAGGGTGACTCCACAAACCCTTCAGCTACCATTTCATCATATTCGTGAAGCTGTATTGTCAGGACCCCAAAGCTTTCTTTTCAGATTTGGAAACTCCGCTAGATGATAAAGAAACCTTTGAGACACTTAACAGTATGTACACCAACGATCTGGTTTGTTGCTTCAACAGTTTTAGCTCACACCTACAATAAGTAAAATGAACAACTGATAGGTTTGGAGTGATGAATGGGCGGAAAAGGCATTGGATTGGCTCAAGTCTCCAGACAATCAAAAAAATGTGGAAGCTGATTTGATTGTTGGAGGAAGAAGGTTCGTGTCTGTTCAATCAAAATTTTTTCTTCAATTCAGTTTCATAAATTTTCAGTCCAATTGCCAATGCAAACGAAAAGCCCGTATGGCAAAAAATAGTCGACGTCTTAGAAATCCAGTTTGATGAAGCAGAAGCAGAAGTGAGTTGAGGAACTGAGACCATTTGATTGCAGGAAAATTCCAAATTTGCGGATAGAAAAAGGGATAGAAAAATGCTTAGCATTTTGCTCCTACTTCTCCGACAATGTTTTGACTCAAAAAGTGTGGCGAGCCAAGTAGATCTTAGAAATATTCTTGGTGCCCTGACTCAACTTTCTAGTCGCATCGTGACTTGTGTAAACAATGCTGTCGCTGAACTTGTCTCCAGGCAATTTTGCCCTCAATGTGACAGGATTGCGAAAATTGAAAGTTGTGTTCAGCTCGAAAATCTTCCCCCAGGCACGGTATACGGATGCAATGGCTATATGAGCACAATAGAAACGAAGGATGATTATGTGTCTGCTGTTTGTCTCTATAAACGACAGTAAAGTGTTTGCATCTTCTCTTGAATTGTTAACAGGCTCTATAAGAAAATATGAGAACAAAATTATATTCTGTACCAGTTGGGCTACGCACGCTAATGCGTGCACCACATGCCCACTACCGCTTAGCTACGATTTGTTAGAAGACCAATATGAACAGTATCGGTTGACTTCCCATTTCATAACTGTTTCCTCACAGCGCTCACGTGACATTCACACTCTTCATCGTACCTACGTGACTTTCGGAAAAAAGCAAAAACGGGCATACAAACAGACACACAAAATTACCGCTTTATGTATAAAGACAGACGGACCGCCCGGCTAACGCCGGGCTTCCCTCCTTCTTTAAGTTCTGGTAATCGGAAACAGGCCCCACAATTTTTGGGACGAATGATGCTTTCCTGAACGCCAAATCCGACACATTCTACACAACTTTGACACAGGACTCAAAAAGAGGGGAGCAGCAGCAGTGGTATTTAGGGTGTGCCGATGCTCACGTCTACGATTAAAAGTGTCTGTTGGTTGCTCTTCTTCTTGAAAATTATGAACCAATAAAGGCTCAACTGATAGGCAACCAAAGAATTGAGTAGTACTTAGAAATGTTCTCAAGTGATAATAACACCATTATCAAATGTCGTTATCACTGGACTTTTTTCCTCCGCGGGTACATCATTAGTTGAGAATCCCCAATTATTGGCAATCGGATGAGCTTTGTGGTAAGTGGTATCAAAACAAAGTAACCTTGATCTTCCACCGAGTTACAAACCTTGCTGGGTAGCGGTCGTAATCTGTATAATAGTCGGAAAATACATNTATCAGCTGTTATCAGCTCCTATCATCGGTCGTCTACGGTCCCGCCATACTCCACATCACATGCCAAACTGTCAAGGCTCCACTATTAATCCCATTATTGTAGCGGCTCTAGGCTTTCCAGGATTTTCATTAGCCCTTGTCAGTTTTATCAGCTCCTGGCCTGGCACCAACCGTTCTCGATCCCGTCACCGAGCACCTACGATCCTGTCACATCTTACATAACCTATAAAAATTCCAAGATTCCATTATTAACAAAAAGTGCGTTACATACCTAGTTGTTCTCGCCTTATATGGCTCGCTATCGGTCCCTATCACTCGCTATCATTCCCTGTCACCAAGCATTTGCGGACCCCTCACATCCCACACCACCCAGTAAAGTGCCAAGGTTTCGCCGTTCACATGAAGGGAGTTACGGATCCTGTGTATTTTGCCTTTTAATGCTTCTTATCAGTTTCTATATAGTTGTCACTTCCTATCACCTACGATCAGTGTTCCCATCCTGATGTTTATCTCTCTACCAAATTTGAATGCCCTACGTCAAGTGGGGCAGGAATTATGAATTTCCGGTCAGACAAACACTTACAAACACACCAACACACACGCTTAGCCGATTATATAAGTAGGATGTGCAATCATTGTGTCCTACAGCGTAAAGTAGTGGTCAGCGCCACTTATCCGCCATCAGTAGTTTTACAATACTAGTTCACATGAAAACCTACCCATGAAACACATAAGCTTACCAGGGTGGGGTAGTCTACTTACCATGGAACTTCGAAGAGACCCACAACAGTCGATAGAGTTTCGAATGCGGTTTACGAATACGGGAATCGAAACTGCAAAACGGATTTTCTAAAAAAAGTTGTGAGGGCTCGAAATTTGCTTTACAGTAGTGTCAATTAGAGATGCGAAGTCGTTGCTTCGGTAACAAAAGTCGACATGGCGTAGTGGTAGTGGTCTCGCTTCACAGCTGCAAGATGCGGGTTTGCTCACCAACACCGTCAAGAGTTTCGTATTGTGTTCTTCGTTTCATTAGAGACTTTCGAAACATTTTCTGCCACTTGTTTGAGTGAACATCTTATTTTTGCTTTAATTTGCGCTTGTCGCACATATTAAGGGAAGAATGGAGCTAAAACTGAGTCGTCTAGATCCAGTGAATCGACGGCATGAAATGGCTGAGTTCAACACGATCACAGCCCAACAAACGGAATGTCTTGTTTGGATAAGTGGATTAGCTGCTTCCGATTACGTCAACATCGCGCGTCACGCGCTACGCAGAATGGTATAGAATCCTCACTTGATTCTCAGGAAGCTCAGCACATGTACTAAACAATTTATGGCCATTTGCCAAGATGCAAATTTTCTAAGCATTCCATTACTTCCTCTGCCCTATTCAAATGCTTAAAGTGCAACAAGGAGTGAAGCAGAAAAGCAGCCGTCGCCTTGTCTGCGCTGTGAGTGATCACACTGGGCAAGAAACNATTTGGCTACAAGAGGGAACTTCGAGGAGACTTGAACAGGCGAAGGAACAGTACAAAAATGAAACCCGAACGTGCCAAGCGAGTAGCTGCGTTACCATCGTCGCTACCACTGCGTCAAACGCATCCTTTGTGATAACCAATGGTGCTCCTACTCGAATGCGTCTCGACACCGGAGCCGATGTCACCTTGATAAGCCTAAAAAAATAGAGCACAGTTGGTCATCTCAGGTTGCTATCTCCGTTATTCGCACTGAAATCAGCAGTCAACAAAGAAATTAAGGTTCGTGTCCATTTTCAATGCAATTTTCCTATTGAGAGACACGAAGGAAAGAGAAAATGCCCTGTGGCCGACATTACATTACTGCTTGAACTTGACTTGATAACGCAAGTTGAAGCAGTACTCCATCAACTTATTGAGAACATCACATGTAATGCCGTATCCCCAACAACTCTCACCGTACTGCGACCGTCACACAATGCGAAACCCCAGAAACAATTCTCTACAGATTTTGCACCAGGGCTAGGTTGTTGCACAAAGTCTAAGGCCTCCCTCAGACTTGAGTCGGATGCAACGCCTCTATTTCGGAAAGCCCGCTCAATTCTTTATGCTGCACTACCTCAAATCTCTTGAGAGATCGGTCACCTTATGGCTGCCAATGTCTTATGCCCTCCGATCCCTCCGATTGGGCACAGAGCAGTCGTGCACAAGAAACATGGTTCTATTTCTCTTTGGGTCAACTATTCATCCTGCCCGTACGAACCCTTGACCAATACTATCTTCCTCTTCCCGCATCCGATGCCGTTTTCACCAAATTGAATACTGGTATATATTCACATATTCAATATACTCACAACTGTCCTATATTCCTATATTCATATATTCACAACTGGACTTGTCCAAAATCTCTTTCCACTTCGATGTGAAAGACATGGACGCCTCCTAATGAAGCATGATTATCAATTCAGTTTCTAGAAAGAAAAGATTGTCCAGACATACATCCATCATTGGTCAGCATACCATTCGGCCGACTTAGTCTGCACTCGGCGTTCAGTCAGCTTGTCAAAATTCAATGTTGACCAAAACTGTTCGTGCCCTGCTCAAAGGGGCTAATATTGGCGCTCGATTCAAGGAGCCATTGCTGAAGCCCTGACGACGTAACGTTCATGTCCTGCTTGAAGGGACCCGTGTTGAAATCTTTGCTAGGGAAGTCAGAGCATGCTCTGGCAATCGTGATTAATATTTTGCATGCTTTCAAAGGCATAGCCTCTGTCTATTTATGATATAAAACAAGGAAGAGGCTGACATCTGCTCCCTTCTTATGCGACGCAACTAATCCAAGTGATCAAAACATTCACGTTAACGGGTTGGTTACAAATGCAACAGAGCCCAAGAACTTTTTAAAAAAGCACATAATCTTTGCAAACAAAACAGTAAAGAAACAATAAATGAAGGCTGTCATAAAATCATATTCGATGATTATCGAACAATGATATAGAATCGACTCCAATAAGGTAACCTGCTTCCCTTATTTCTAGTCTCACTGATCTCTTTCATAAACCCTACCTGAAGGCCCAGTTCGCAACCGACATTCAAAATTTTGGGACTAAGCAGCATGAGCCCAACTATCTCAGTCATGACCATCTGTTTCTGATACGTGTTTTACAGTTGGAGTACTCAAGGATCATAGTATGCATGATAAAACATGCGGTTTTCAAGAGACAAGAGAAGGCTACAGAATAATATCGTAGAGGACACCAATCGCAAAAAAACAAAAAATTTTAAAAAAATCAAAAAAGTCCAGAAAAGCCTCAACAAGAAAAGTTTATAGACACGTTAGCTGATATGAGCTCATTACAAGAGAAGGATACAAGATTGCAGTGACCATTTAAGATGAGTTATATACCGACGTAAGTTCTTCCGAACGCTGATCTCTAATCTGGTTTCCAAATTTGCGAAACGATTATGGGAACAAAGTTGCGGGTCCGTTTTCTTCTAATGTCATGCCACTGTTTCGCTTTTATGAACTAA